TTACATATAATCTCTAGTCAACAATTAGGACGTTTTTTATTTGATTCCGTAATTTTATTATTCTCTTTAGTATGAGTGTATCTCATTTCACCATAACACTATGACTATAAAAAAAATTTAATTGCAATTAGTTGGCTAAAGGTACCCAGTGGGTGTTTAAAACCTTCTGATGTGACTAATACATGTTTTTAGTTCTCATCATTTTAAACAACTCATTTTATCGTAAATGAAATTTTTAAGTCACCTAAATTGAAAATGACAGTGAAGATATCTTGAGAACTTTTAATTTTAACCATACCACTTGAGTACATAAATTGAAAATATAGAGATGGAAAAGTAAATGAAAGGTTTTATTTTATTTTAAACAATTTATCACCCTTAGATTATTTTCTAAATAACCTATGACTTGTGAAGTATTTCTGAAGTGAAAAATATCTCCTATGAAATGGGCAAAGTGGTTATGTACTTATGTCTATACTAAAGAAATGAGCTTTGTAAAGGTCAGTAATTTTAGTTTACCATTTGAGGATGATCTGTATTTTATTCTTCATTTTTGTATTTCTCTATAATTGTATTTCTTGAATAATTTAAAGGCAGTCACTTTATATAACGCCTATGAACAAGACACTTTACTTCCATCTTTGTGATCAGTTGCTTAGCAACCCTATGGTTGATGAAATCTATCAGATATGATGTCTGTCTCTTTGGAAAATGTCACTGAATGGGATGACTTAGATTTTTCACAATATTTTAGCAGTTTGCAGTCTCTGAAGTATCAATAAGTCATTTCATTGTATCCAATAATTCTTATTTCTGTTCTTCAAAACCAAATCTTTTTTTGACTTCCATTATTTGAAAGCTAAATATATTAGTCTCTCTTCAAGAGATATTAATTACCTACATTTGATGTATTGTTTTGTGTACTGGTTTTTACAGATTTAATCTTTTCTAATTAATCAAATTATTTTTAACAAAACACCAATTGTGCTCTAAATGTAATGCCAGATTATCCATAGGTAGGCATGATTTCTATTTCAACCGAAAGGGGTTAAAATTCATTTGGAGGGCCTCCCTGGTGGTGCAGGGTTAAAGTCTCAGTGCTATCAAGCTATCACCAGCCACTGGAGCATGAGTTCCATCCCTGGCCAGGAAGCTAACCCACATGGTGCAGCAGACCTCTCCTATATCGACTGCTGGTCCTCTCAGCAGTGTATTTCAGTAACTCCACCTGTTCAGCTCCTCAGTCTGTCTCTGGTGAATCCCCCCACCCCCCATTTATGTTTTCTCTCCTTTGAAAGGTAACTCCTTAGGGGAATTGGAGCCTTCACCTTAGCTGTGGACTTGGGCAGCAGTTCAGATCATGCCAGCAAGCTGTCCTGGGGAAGAACGACAGCCTGGAGATGACAGAGATTTGAGCAAAAATTCCCACCAGCAGGAAAATTGGTTTCTAGGCCATCTTACGATGTGTTGCCTCATATTTTGAAGTTCATCTTTTTCCTCATTAAATAACTGGGACTTTAGAAATAATAGTGACAGTTTTCAATATCTTTTTAAGTAAGTAAGAAATGATTCTCTAAATACCTTTACAGTATAATCCCAGATCAAGGAAAATTTTATTAACAAATCAGATAACCTGACTTTCTCTCTAAAGAACCTCTAGTTGAGGTAGATCTTTGCTTATGTTTTTTTAAAAGATTTATTTATTTATGCATACAATGGGGTACAGGCCAGAGATGTGGGGGGTGAGAGGATTCACCAGAGACAGAGTGGGGAACAGAACAGGCAGACTGACCAAAGTACACTGGTGAGGGGAGCAGTAGGCATGTCAGGAAAGGTCTACTGAGCCATGTGGGTTGCTCCCTGGCAGCCGGGGATCAAACCCGTGCTGCAGAGGCTACAGATTGCTTAATAGTGCGGTTCTTAACCCCTTGTACCACTAGGGAGGCTCCCTTTGCTTATGTTATCATAATATTTTTTACAACAATCGGCCTACCTGTATAAAACACACCCAATGCTGATCTCTCATCCAAACAAGCCTAAAAGAATTACTCTTCTGTCAGCACTCAGTGACATCTTTCTCTTATAATAAGAGAAAGGATCAGTCTTCATTGCCTCACATTCCTAGGATGAGCCCAGCAGCTTGTGACTTTAGAATGATTGAGGGCAGGGAGGGTATTATAAATCTTCCTAGATTTCAAAAGGAATTATGAAGATTCCCTAAAATGTTTCCAAATTTCTGCCAGAAGAGGACATTATACCCACAGATCCATTGAAATAGGCTCTTCTACCAGCTTCCTTCATTTAGCCTGTAAGTTTGGCTGATTTCTAGCTTATCAATTTTTACTTCGAGATGAAAATACTTAATTGATTTTTTCTCATTTTCATTTAACAGACTTTCCTTATTTTCCATTTTTTGAACTATATTTGACATATAACATTGTGTAAATTTAAGGTCCAAGACATAATTTGATGCATGTGTGTATTGTGACATTATTTCCCCCTTTTAGCTAATTTCAAATGTACAATACCGCATTGCTTACCATAGTCAATCAGTCTTCTATCTGGAAGTTTGTACTCTGATCAACTTTAACCATTGCCACTCACCCAGAGGAGCAACTAACAATCTAATCTATCTGTTTCATAAATTATGTGTTTCAGATACCACATTTTCATGAGATCATACAGTATTTGTCTTTATCTAACTTATGTCACTTAGAAAAATACCCTTTTGTTTCATTCATGTGGTCACAAATGACAGAATTTCCTACTTTTGATGGTTTAATAATATTATACATATACAAATATGTAAATATAATATTTTCTCTATCCATTCATGCATTTGAAGGACACTTAAGTTGTTTCCATGCCTTTTGAAGTTCATCTTTTTCCTCATTAAGTAACTGGGACTTCAGAAATAATAGTGACAGTTTTCAATATCTTTTTAAGTAAGTAAGAAATTATTCTCATAAATATCTTTCCAGTATAATCCCAGATCAAGGAAAATTTTATTAACAAATCAGATATCCTTGACTTTCTCTCTAAAGAACCTCTAGTTGAGGTAGATTGAAATAGGCTCTTCTTCCAGCTTCCTTCATTTAGCCTGTAAGTTTGGCTGATTTCTAGTTTATCAATTTTTACTTCGAGATGAAAATACTTAATTGATTTTTTCTCGTTTTCATTTAACAGACTTTTCCTTATTTTCCATTTTCCATTTGTGAATAATGTCACAGTGGATGTGGAAATGCAGATACCTCTTCAATATATCAATTTCACTTTCTTCAGATGTATACCCAGAAGTAGAATTGCTAGATCATAATTTTTGTTTTAATTTCTTAAGGAACCTCTATACTATTTTCCACAGCTGCACCAATTTAATTCCCACCAACAGTACACAAGGCTTCCCTGTTCTCCACATTCTTACCAACACTTGTCATCTCTGGTCTCCTGATAATCATCATTCTAATAGGTGTGAGGTGATATCTCACTGTGGTTTTCATTTGCATTTCCCCCATGATAAGTAATGTTAAACACATTTTCATCTACTTTTTGGCCATTTGAATGTTTTCTTTGGAAAAATGTCTATTCTACTCCTTTCCATCTTTTAATTGGATTTTTCTTTGTTAAGTTGCATGAGATTTTAATAGATTTTGATTATTAACCCCTTATCAGATATTTCCTCCCGTACTATAGATTGCTTCTTCATTTTTGTTGATTATTTTACTGTACAAAAACTTTCTAGAATGATGTGCTCAAAGGTTTTGTTTTTGCTTTGTAGCACAGAATGATTTTTTTCTTTAAATATTTTTATTATTACTTTTTATTTTTTACATCATTGTTCATTTTTAAACAATATTTGCTTCCCTCCTGCCCCCTCAGGTGTAGTCCCCATAGAATTTCCTTCACCAAGGCACCCGTGCACCATCACCTCAGTCCCCTGAGCTCCTCCCTCCCTCCCTGTGATCCCTCTCCGGCCTCCTCTCCTACAGGAGGCCTCTGATTTATAATTGTCCGTTTTTGCTTTGTTGTGTTTTGTACTGCTATTATTTTTTTTACACTGATATCTTATTCGGGTCCCCTATATTCCTGCTATAAGTGAAACCATCCAATATTTTCCTTTTTCCTTATGCTCAGTGAAGACAAAATGATTTTTTAACCTTTGTATGCTTTTGACTCTAAGATTCTCTCGCTTCACTAGTAACACTTTTATTCGACTGTTGTAAAAGTGGACAGGAACAGTAAAACTGGGGGAATTTATTCAATTACAAAAAATGTAAACCTTCCTAATATAAAATGTTACCCAATACCCAAAGCTTACTATATGTAGGTGAGTTATCAAATGAAATTTGAGAAAAAACTTCCCAGGTACCTTTGTTGTTCTGCTATTAACACTAATCCATATACTCCCTCTCTCCTTCCCACAGACTATCTTTAAAATCACTGTGTTCTGGTTCAGAAGTTGCCAATCTTTTCCACTTCAAAATTACATGAAAAGTTAACATTCTGTTAAGATCTCCCTAATCTAATTAATTAGAATCCTATATAGGGATGAAAATGTGGAATTTTAAAAGCTTGCAACTGATTTTTATACAGATTCATTACTTTAGATCGTCTTTACTCTCAAAACAGACAATTGCAGTGAATAGAATCTGAATCCCCCTTCCATGACTAATATCTAGTGAGGTCTGTAATTCAATATTATAGTGGAAATCATTTCTAATTACGTTTTTCAGATTCTTCTGGTAGTTAGATTATCTTTACTTGACAAATTCGAAATCATGGTATAATGGTCTCTCATTGAAATACCCTCATTAGCAAATATATAAATAAATGCATGTACTACCTTATATGAATATGTAACTATGTCCAAAATATGTACATTTTCTATGTCTGTGCATCTTCAGTGGTTAGTAGTAACACAAAATTTAAACCTAAAGTTTAGCACAGGTTTTCTGTATAAAGAAGTTTACCATATAATCCATCTTATGTGCCATTGTCCATAGATGTCTCTATCCAGAAGTCAGCAATGAACTGATGAAGAATATTGTTCCCTATATGTGGTCATATTCAATAATTCCTCAACAACTGGTCAATCTTTATCCAGAGACACCTTATTAAGAGCATTCCAAGGTAAGGACAATTCCTCTTATAAAAATAGCATTATACTACTCACTTGGGGTTCCAGTTATTTTGTTGATAAATAAATTAAGCTGGATATCCATCCTTTTTGTTTCACTTTGAACATCCCCACTCCACTATCCTCACTCACCAAAGAGAATTGAAACTGGTATGAGTTTCCTATTGTTGCTATAATCAAATTACCACAAACTTCATGACTTAAAACAACATAGAGTTATTGTCTTAAAGTCCTATATTTAGAAATCTGATAAGAATTTCACTGAGCAAAAATAAAGTTATATAAGATTTGGTAAATTTGAAGATATATAAGAAACAAAATTAAAAAACAAACAAAAAATACCTGAAGAAAAATGAGTAAAGTGGTGTTGAGACAATATCAAGCAGTGTACTTTGGCTGAAGCTCCCATGAGTAAATAAACGAGGGAGGAGGATGTGGAGGGGAAAAAAAGGGGGCAACTAATATACGAAAATTTTCTAAATGTGGTGACTATTATAATTCACATATTTATTCAATTAAGTGAACCCCAAGCAAAGGAAATATAAAGAAATAACACAAAGACAACCAAAATAAGTGCTGAAAATCAGTGACAAAAAAAAATCTTAAATATAGACAGAAATAGAAATGACACATAGAGAAGAAAATAGCAAAACCCTCATCAAAAAGTAGAAAGCTGGAAAGTAATAGAACTGAGGAAGAAAACAAAAAAAAAACATTTTTTGATTGCTGAGTAAGAATTATATAAAATAAAATATTTTTTAAAAAAGAAATAAAAAAACAATTACTATTACACTAATCATGAACTGCTAAATAAAAACTCAAAGGAAAAAAAAAGAAAAAAGAAAACAAAAAACCCAAGCCATCAACCTATAGTTCTATAACCAGAAGTATTAAATCTTAATTAAAGATTTTTGAAATCATTAAAAATTAACTTGTATTTATTATCACAGACAATCATTGCCAGGAATTTGCATTAATATCTGAAAAAAACCTGACTTCAACAAAATAGCTTATCAAAAATAGAGTTGATATATGATTAAATGTTTAAAACTTCAATTATAGACTTTAATAGTAGAACTTAGCTTTTGCTAAATTTGCTAAATGGTAGGATGGCATTATACTCACCATATTAGGGAAAACTAAGGGATGAACAGATATAGGGAGTTTGTTCAAAAGTTAATTTATGAATTTTAACTTTGAGATGTATTTAGATGTACCAGAGGAAATAATACGTAAGGTGTTAAATGTATTAGCCTGCTGTTCAGAAGATAATTCTGAGACAGAGATAATATCTTTATAAATAATCATTATATAGATGATATGTGTATGTTTGAGACATAATCAAAGACACAAAAGAGGAAGTATAATTAGAGGAAAGAAACAAAGACTGAAATAAGGGACACTTCCATGAAATACATTAGGTAAAAAGAGATAGATATGTAGTAAATGATATTTAAATCATGTGGCCAATTTTGTAGCAGAAAAACCAGAGTGAGTTGTCTGGGAAGCCAAGTGAAAAAAGTATTTCTAAGAGGAGAGATTGATCAATTGCTCTGTGCTGCTGGATAGGCTAAATAAGATGACATTTGAGCATTAACCATTAAATTCTACAATCAAATTATCTGTAACATTGTCACAACACAATTACAGTTGGCAGGGAATGCATATAAAAGAATAGAAAGAGAGAAATTAGGGGCAGAAAATGTAAACATCTTTTTTAAAGAATGTTGAAAATGAAAGTGAAAGGATAAATAGGGGAGTGGCTGAGACAGAGTCCTTGTGTAGGAAAGAAGATATAAGGCATTAATAAAGGAAATATCTTCACACTATGTATTTTATCTTAATGAAAGACAAAAAGGCAGAATGTATGGTCTAGATGGCTATCCTGTACATAAATGTAGTGATAATAGTCTTCTTATTGTTGATATTTATATTAATGGGGAAAACAAATCTAGTAAATGACACTAAAGATGGCAAGCGTTCTTGGAAACTTAAGACAGAATGATAGAATGGAATTATTATCTAGAGAAGGAAATGTGACATGATTATATATACTACACTTCCACACCCCCCCCCAGTCCTTCCACACTGGACTGGGGTACTTTCCAGAGAGCAGCTGAAAGTTTCTGCTGAAGGGTGAACCCTTAGGCAGCCCAGACAACACTAAGACTATATATATATATATATTCCTGGTCATGAATTTAAAGTGGGGCTAATCAGTGTCATTTGTGTTTGTTTCAAGTCACATTCTTCTATCCAGGTAAAAATCTGCAATAAATGGGAACTCCCCTGATGGCGCAGTGGTTGAGTGCTGGGCTGCAAGCGCCGGTTCGTTCCCTGGCCACTGGCGAGGGTCCTACAAAAAAAAAAAAAATCTGCAATAAATGAAGAGTTGAATTTAGTCTGGGTTGTATTTACTCCATGGTCATATCCATAATATACGGAACAAAGATGACCCAATGTCATTTGCCTTTCTGACCCAATTTTCTAGTTCATTTATTTGAATTTGAGGCAAATGAGAATATATATATGGGACTAGCAAGTGCCTTCAGTGTACTAATGCAGAGATATCTTGGAAGGAACAGAAAAGTATTTCATCGTGAGCTAAGCTGCATACTTTTGTGTCAGTTATTCAAAATCCACTGAGCTGAAAATAACAGAAATTGGATTACTATTGAAAATTGAGAAAATAATATAGTATTCCAAGGCAGTGTACAACTCATAGATATCTATCTTTTTCTGAGAAAGTGTTTGAAACAAATGGAAATTTCCCCTCAAGAGTTTATTGTACTGCCCTGTAATTTTACTAGACAGATGGTCAGGCATAAATGCAACTGTAGAAGGTATTCCACATAGTCAAAATACATTGCCCCACTCTGTCAATTTTCTGCCTATGGTCAAATAAGCATTATTTATTCAAGTGCATGAGAGATTATATCAAAAAGTTAGAGAAGTGGATAGCACAAATAATATAAAATTTCCTTCCCTTTTTTATCTTACAAATTACTCATATACTTAATTTTGTTCTTCCTATTATGCCGTTTAAAAAAAATAATAATAACCTACTGTGCTCTAAGCTAGCTCCTCTTCTGAAAACTTTAAATTTGTCTCTATGATGCTTCCAATTTAACTGCGTTGTCTCCCATCCAAAGACAGTGAAACAGTGGGGTAACTACAAGTACCGGAGTCCTTTTTGCACAGTAGACATAGTTACCATGGCAACAGTGGACAACAGAGAACAGCAGCATACCAGGAAGTTCCTTGCTCTGTAATAAATGGTTCCTTTTTATCTATTGCTATATTCATAGCCTATACAGAATTTAAACTCAACAGGATCCTACAATCTGCAATGCCCATATAATAGCATAAGAAAATGCAGTCTATTCTGCCTCAAATTTTTATATATCCTTTACAATACTGCTTTTCAGTATGTGGAGGACTCGAGTCTCTACAAAACTATGATTTGTCATAATAGAAGAGAGGTAAACAGAAAGCATTACAAACTAAGCAGATCCTTCATTACTGTGTGCTTAGCTTCTGTGAGTATGTATGTGGGAACAGATCTCGGTCCCCAAAATTCATGCAGATAGAGTCAAGGGTCTACCACTACTTGTTTATTTTTTTCCTTTTAGATTTTTTTTTTTTTTAAATTAAGGTAGCATTGGTTTATATCACTGTGATTTAGAGATATAGAATCTCCCTTTTTGGGTGTTGTTACACTACCACACCCAGCACCAAAACACCCAGAGTCCTCCACCACAGTCCACTGGGCTTCCTGCCCACTTACTCTCAATCCTCTTCCCCTCCTAGAAGCCTCAGTTTGAGTCATATTTCTCGGGTTTTTTATTAGTTTGGTTTTATCTGACACTCTGGTTTTTTTGCCTATAATCCACATGTAAGTGACACCATCAGGTATTTGTCTTTCTCCCTCTGACTTACTCACTTTTTAATGAGATTTCTACATCTGTTAAAAATGGAACCACATTACCAAAGGCAAATGCTCGGTATCATTGTACCTACTTAGCCATCAAAGTCATTTAGTTTGTATTTACAAAAATAATTAGTAATTAAAATAGAATAAATAGCTCATTTGAATACTTCAAATATGTATATATTAAACATTAGCTAGAGAAAACATCAAAATGAAAGATTATCAATTTGCCGCAGGCTTCAGCATTTTCAAGTGATCTAATTTAAAAATTCCTCTTAATTCTCATTCTCTCTCTCACAACTCCTCTAGTTTTTGCTTTTAAAGTTATTTTTTTAAATCTGTTCTACTTCTAATTTTGACCAATAATTTGATGTATTTTTGCTGGAATGATGACCTTGTGCTTTAATATAGCAGACATTGATTCTTAATTCTCAAAAACAAATTCACAAGTCTAGTATAATGTTGTGTTTATTCTTTGTCCTGCCATTCCCAGCTCTCTAAGCTACCTAACAGATATTTAGTGCTGACAAATCCTTAATTGCCCACTATTTTTCTTGCTTTAAAACAGATAGAAATTGAAGTTCACAAAGACTTTATTTTTGGAAAGGCAGCTTTATTAAGGTAATCACACCATATGATTCATCAATTTAATATATGCAATTCTGTAGTTTTTAGTATGTTCACAGATATGTGCAACAATCACCACTGTCAATTTTAAGATATTTTTATCCTCTCAAAAAAATAACTTCATTATTCTTTAGCTCTCAGTACCTCACACCTAATCTATTTTCTTTTTCTATAGATTTCCCTATTCTGAACTTTCATATGAATAGAATCATAAAAAACATAATTTTGGGTGTGACTGGCTTCCTTCACCTTGCATAATATATTCTCAAGGATTAGTCATGCTGTAACATATGTTGGTAATTCATTCTTTTTATGGTCAAATAACATTTGATTGTATGAATATGCCACTTTTGTTCATCCATTCATCTGTTGTTGAATATTTGTAACTTTTGGTGACTATGATTTATACTGATATAAACATTTATGTGCAAGTTT